TTGAGCCCCGCGTCAGGCTCTGGGCTGATGGCTCAGAGCCTGGAGCTTGTTTCCGATTCTGTGTCTCCCTCTCTCTCTGCCCCTCCCCCGTTCATGCTCTGTCTCTCTCTGTCCCAAAAATAAATAAACGTTGAAAAAAAAAATTAAAAAAAAAAAAATTAGAATATAAGCATGCTATCTCACAGCATCTGAAAATATGAATGAAGCCTACTAATGCAGTGAATGCCAGCACAAATCACTTCTAACCACCTTATACCAAACACTAACCATTAACAATAAATAGCACTTACCAAATGTCAGGCATGGTGCTAACTGCTCCTCTTGCATTCTCTTACCTTACGCTTATACACTTTGAAGTGGACAAATGTTCCTACTATGCTAATCTTACAGGTAAAGAGGATGAGATATAGCTGTTTACTTGCTAAAAGGCATCCATCTCCTGACTGTTGGAATCAGGACTCAAAATCAGGTCTGCATGTCTTTAGAGTCAGTGATTGTGACCATGGTGCTAAATACTGCACCTCTTTAGGTCAGGAATGGACATAAATTGCTAATATGAAACACAGCATCACAGGGTAGAAATACATGCTGTTCAGGTAAAGATGGTAGATTGAGCACATGCACCTACTTCCATTCCCTCCCAAAATTCCATTAAATGACAGCAAAGATTTTTGTTTTAAGCCATGAACCTAAATGAATGGAAAAAGAGAAGAGGAGATAACATCAAAAAGAAGTTGGAAAGCGGATGGACAAGTAGTAATTAACATGGTAGACCCAAGAAAAGTGAATCCTGAGTCAGCAGTAGAAAAGCAAAACAAACAACTCAATTCACATCACAGGATCCTTAAAAGGTTCAGAAACTGGTGCCTTCATAGACCTTTGGAAGTAGGAATGAAGGGGTAGGCACTAGTGTAAGAACTGGTTGAAGGTTTAAGTATTCAGAATGCTCTCTGCAACTTAAGCAGCCTCTTTTCCCTAGCTCCCTCCCCAAATCAGAAGTTTACTTTCTGAAAAGGGTAAAACAGAGGGTTCTTTGGATTGTGGGATGCCAGGCAGTTATGGGCACAGGTACTGTACTCAATACAGAGACTCAGTGAGCAAATGCATACTGGACAGGAGATAAACAAGATACAAGACAGAAACAAAAGATCCAACATGGAAAACAAGGAAAAGGAATTCCCAGGATTGTGGTAAAGGGAGATCCCAGAATAGAGCCATCCACCAGGCACAGGCGACTGTAGTCCAGACTGAGACAGGTCAGAAAGCTCCAGGAAAGACTTAATCGGGAAGACGGAACAGCACACTTGATGAAACTGAACACTGTGAACAATGTAGATATATGGCAAAGAGTCTAGCTGATTCAGTTTTTAAGTTCATAGAAAATGAAGCCTCGGAAAACCAGAAAGATGTACAGGAAGGAAAACAAACATGGGCGCCTGGCTCAGTCAGTTAAACATCTAACTCCTTCCTGGTTTTGGCTAAGGTCATCTCAGGGTCAGTGGGTTTGAGCCCTGAGTCAGGCTCCGTGCTCATGACACAAAGCCTGCTTGGAATTCTGTCTTCCTCTCTATCTGCCCTTCCCCCACATGTGCACGCTCTCTCTCTCAAAAATAAACATTAAAAAAAGAAAACTGGCATTTAGAGCCCTCATGAAATTAATTCAAACGAAAGCACACAAATAAGTACATTGGAAAGAAGAAGAAATGAGAAGAGATAAGAGCGCTGGAGGTAAGGATAGGAAAGAGAAGTCAGTAGGCAATGTCTACAACAGAAAAATCACGAAGTACCAATACTAACATGCTATTCAAAGACAAAAGTAAATATAGTTACCTAAATATACCAATATAGCTACCTAATTTAGTTACCTAAAAAGAGGTGAATGTAAGTTGCCTCTACAAAGAAAGTTAAGGACTGTCCTCTTCCCCTAACAAACTTAGAGAACTATTTGACTTAAATTATAGCAATTTTTTCCTTTGGTGGAACTATATATTCCCAGCATCAAGCAGTAATGTTGCCTTTCACAAAGACTGCTTAATAAAATAATTTCACTCTATCAGCATTAGCAAATCCTCCAGTCCAAAACAAGAGTAACTCAAATTAACGTAGTTTGTAACAAACAATATTAAAGAGGTCTCACCAGTGATTGTTGGTCTGCAGCAAAAAGCAGGTTAAGAGAAATAAAATCCAATTTTTTTCTTAGTTGGTATTTTAATTAAAAATATAGACTAATGGTCCTGGGCTTAAATGTTGTTGTGGCTGTGTGCTGGCTTCTGTAAAATATAACTAATCAAAAGGAACTCTTCAACAAATATACTCCAGACAGAAGTAAAAAGGTAAACAAAAATGACTAACAAGACAGTGCTATTGCAGACATAATTGCCTTATAATTTATACTTGCTAAAAAATGGAGTTTAACATTACTTACAATTAATTATATCAACATTCACAGAGGCCGAACATCACAAGCATATGGGTGTACCATTACCACAAAATGTCTTTACTTCTCAAGCAGTTTTAAATTTTAGCTATGAAGGTCAGTTACCAGAGGCCAAACTTGTTCTTAATGAGTAGAATTTTTATGTCCATTCAGAGTCTCTTACATCTTTCGGGGCCTATTCATTTGCAGATAGGAGTAGAAGTTGTAACCGGGTTCCTCTTATCATGCATTCACATGTGATGTTCATCTTCATATGCTATCCAGTTTCTTTAGGATAAAAGGTGCTGAAAGAAAAATAAACATCCAGAATTTCAGATCTATTAGCCCATAAGTTATATTATGGAATTTGTAAGACTGGGAAAATCTTACAGATTTAGATTTAGTTCAATACATTTTTTAAGTGACTCCCTACAATGGCCTGCACAACCCAGTAAGAGACCCCCTGTCTTTCCAGTGTCATGAAGCTCTGTCTATTCTAAGTTTTTCTTACACTGTATAAAATCTTTTCTCTAGGAAGTTCTCCCTCATAGGGCCATAAAGAGTAAATTCAATCCTCTTTCAAAGGACATTTTTTTATTCTGGGTAATTTAACTATCAGAGGAACAAAACACTTGAAGAAACAAATTGGCATTTTCCACCTTTTAAAACCTATTTGAAAAAAGGCAGAAAGTGGGAGAAAACACTTAACTAGGTAATGAGGAGAGCCAGACACACATTTAGGGTCTCCCAATGATTAGCTATATATCACTTATGCAATCCAGATCACCTATGATATAGGTGAACTACTTCAGTTCAGAGAGAGAGAATGTGTGTGCACACATGGAGTAGGAGCAGAGAGAGACTCTTAAGGAGGCTCCACGCCCAGCACGGAGCCAGAAACCTGAGCTGAAATCAAGAGCCAGATGCTTAACCGACTGAGCCAACCAGGTGCCCCAGTCCTACTTCAGTGCTTATGGGGGTCTGGTAGGATGGTACACACAGAAATGTCTGGAAAAAAAAAATGCTGTCGTAGGGAGCTAAAGAAGTGATATTATTGTCCTGTGTAAAAGCGCTGTGGCCAAAATAAGCACACGAAAAGAGGTTTAACATTACTAGTCACTAGGAAAATGCAAATTAAAACTACAGTGACCTACCACCTCACACCTATTAGGATGGCTACAATCAAACTGTCGGCAAGGATGTGGAAAACTTGGAACCCCTGTGCACTGTTTGTGGGAATGGAAAATGGTACAACTGCTTTGGATCAGAGTATGGTGGGTCCTAGGAAATTAAAAATAGGGCTATCTGTAGATCCATGTTAGAGCAGCATTATTCACAGTAGCTAAAATGTAGAAGCAACCCAAATCCAAAAACAGATGACTGGAGAAGCAAAAATGGTATACGACGGAATATTAGTCTTAAAAAGAGATTCTGACATACGCTATGACATGGAGGAACCTTAGGGACCCTAGGTGAAGCGAAATAAGCCATTTACAAAAAGACAAATACTGTATGATTCCACTTACGAGATCCTTAAAGAGATGTCAAAATCATAGAGACAAAGCTTCAGTTTTACAAGATAAAGAGTTCTAGAGATGGATGGTGATGGTTGTACAACATTATGCATGTATTCAATACCACTAAACTACACACTTAAAAATATTTAAGATGATAAATTTTACCACAATAAATTAAATTTTTTAAAAAAGGGGAGGAGGCTGTGTAGCCAAAAGAGCTGCCAGAAGTATCTTCTCAATACCCATAACGAAAGTAATAAAACATATTGTTAATATTAAACTGAAGATATTGAGATCTGTTGAAGGCTGACAAAGTTGGCAATATTCCCAGGTATCTCTACTAATTCTTATCAGACAAAACTGTAACATCCATCAGGTGAATGGATAAAAATGTGGCATATCCACACAATGGAATGTTATTTGGCAATAAAAAGGAAGGAAATACTAATACACGTTATAATATGGATGAACTTTGAAAACATCATGGAAAGTGAAATAAGCTAGACACAAAAAGTCACATATTCTACAATTCCATTGGTATGAAATGTCCAGAATAGGCAAATCCATAAACATGGAAAGTAGATTAGTGGCTGCCAAGGGAAAGGGAAAGGGGAAAATAGTGACCAGTTAATGGGCATGGAGTTCACTTTAGAGTTAAAATGTTCTAAAATGGATCGTAGTGATGATTGCAAACTCTGACCATGCTAAGAACCATTCATTATACACTTTATTTTTAAATTGCTTTTATTTTAAATTAAAGTATAATTGACATACAGTATCCCTATTAGTTTCAGGTATACATCAAAGTGATTCACAATAACTCTAGTTACCACAAGAAATTATTATAGTATTCTCTATGCTGTACATTGCATCCCTGTGACTTCTTTTATAACTGCAAGTTTGTACCTCTTAATCCCCTCCCCCTATTTTGTCTATTCCCTATCCTATTCCCCACTGGCAACTACCAGTTTGTCTATTTATGAGTCTGTTTCTGTTTTGTTTGTTCATTTGTTTTTTTAAATGCTTATTTGTTTTTGAGAGAGTGACCGCAAGCAGGGGATGGGCAGAGAGAGAGGGGGGACAGAGGAGTCAAAGCAGGCTCTGTGGACAGCAGAGAGCCTGATGTGGGTTTGAACTCACAAACTGCGAGACCATGACCTGAGCCAAAGTCAGATGCTTCACTGACTGAGCCGCCCAGGTGCCCTGTTCATTTGTTTTCAAAGATTCCACATATAAGTGGAATCATAGCATTCATCCTTCTCTGATTTCACTTAGCATAATAACCTATAGGTCCATCCATGGTTGTTGCAAATGGCAAGGTTTCATTTTTATGGCTAAGTAATATTCCACTGTATATACACATCTTTATCCATTTGTTGGTAGACACTTAGGTTGAACTGTACACTTTAAATGGGTGAACCATATATTATGAAGTGCATCTCAATTTTAAAAGTGGCAATGTGGAACAGTATTCTGTAAGTTTTTTAAAAGAAAACCAATTCATATCAGATACAAAGGTGACTGAAAAGAAGCAAGTATTTTACTGGCAGCTAAGTCAACAAAAAAAAGGTAAGAGGAGAAAGTTAAGTTGGGAGTTGCAAAAAGCTGTTGAAGGAGGACGACTTGGGAGTTTCTATTCAGCAGGGCTCCCTCTCCTGGGGAAGCAGAGTAGTAGCATAGTCACTAAAGGGTTACCAGGCTTCAGGAGCTCTGGCCCAGGCCCAACGTGAGCCTTCTACAGGGTGACCTTGGAATGCCTTCATCCCTGCCAGCAATACACAGCAAGGTGCAATGAAGAGTACTGAACTGAGAACGGGGTATGTGTGTGAGCAAATAACTTTTGAGATGCGTATCAATAAAACTATAGAAGTGACCTACAAAGCCCAGATCTAACATTCAGTGTGCCTTTAACGCTGATGTTTTGCGTTAAGACCCCCTTTGAAGGGTGAGTTCTCGCTTGCAAAAGGGATATACAGAATCTCTGGCCCGGCCTCCTTCAAAGCGCTGTCAAACAAGTTTCTGCCAAACATAAATTCAAATAAGCCTTCAGGTATTATTATTAATGCTATAAACTCCTATCCTTTTATTCTCATTCCTTAAAAAACAAAACAAAACACCGCAATTATTTATTTCACCCTGTGTATTAACAAGCAAAACTTCTTGTATTTCAGAGATCAACATTGAAGGGAGGAAACCTGGTAGTAGGAGCTCTGGATTCTAGACCAAGATCATTCACTGAATCGCTGAGTGACCTTGAGCCAGCCATTTCTCTGCTCTAGATCTCCGTTTCTGTCGACAAAACGTGGGAGCAGCTAAGGAATGGGGGGGGGGTATAATCCCTTGAGGCTCTTTCAATTCAAGCTCTCCTAAGGCAGGGCGAAGCTGGACGATAACCCTCGCAGTCCGGACCACCGCGTGCACTTCTGTACCCGGACCCCGACCCGCAGACCCTAAGCCACGCATGCGCCCGCCACTCTCGACGCGCAAGCCCCACGCTCCCTGCGACCGCCCAGCTCACTCCACTCAAGGGCCCCCAAGGACTATAGGACCACAATTAGGTGGGTGGTGTCCGCGAGCTTCCCGCTAGTCTCACGGCCGCAGCCTGGAAGGACACTCACTGACTCGCAGCAGGGCCACGTAGATGAGGAAGTTCCGTATGGAGGAGATCACATCCTCGCGCATCTTCCGTTTCATCTCCTCGGGGTCCAGCTTCGGCGCGAGGCCCTCGATTCGGAACATGCCGGCTTTCCTTTTTCCACTACCAGCTACCACGTTCTGCTTCTCTCAGCGGCTGCCCGGCACCCGGAACTCTGTCCTATCCCATTTCCTGTTCCCGCCCCTTCGTTTTCGCGCGCAGCGACGGGAGGCTGCGAGGGACAATCCTCGTTCGGACCGCGAGGTTCTGCAGGGGGCTGCCTGAAGGGGGCGGTCGCAGTCTTAGCGAGAGGTCCCCCTGGCTGCTAACAGCTTCGTCTTGAGCTGGGCGCGCCACAGCGCAAAGTGCTTTTACGCCTCAGAGGGGCGAAGCACGTAGATACCACTATAAATAATAATAATTACCGTTCTACGCCGTGAACTGGATATTAAAACCTTCATTTCCTAGATGAGAAAACTGAAGCACAGAAAGCTTTAAAAACAACTTGCCCCCAAATACTTTAAAATACCTTAGGGGCGAAAAAAGTGTTGAGGAGGGAAAATGAAACGGTATTAGCAAAACGTTGTAAATTGCTTAAGCTTGTGATTAACATATTGTTTTAATTTAGTCCATTTTGAGTATGTTTGAAATTTTTCGTAAGTTAAAACAAAAAGATGAAGATGATGACACTTGCTTGAGATCACACAACTAGTAAATGCAGTAGGTTTTTTTTTTTTTTAATGTTTATTTATTTTGGGGAGACAGAGAGATAGAGTGCAAGCAGGCAAGGGGTAGAGGGAGAGAGACACAGAATCTGAAGCAGGCTCAGAGCTCCGAGCTGTCAGCACATAGCCCTACGCGGGGCTGGAACCCACCAAGCACGGGATCATGACCTGGGCCGAAGTCGGACGCCTGACCAACTGAGCCACCCAAGCACCCCAATGCAGTAGATTTTTTAAATAAATGTTATTGTCATCCCCATTTTATTATTTACACATTTATTTTTAAGAATGAGCTCTGTGTCCAACCTGGGGCTTAAACTCTGGACCCTAAGATCAAGAGTCACATGCTGTACTGACAGAGCCAGCCAGGTGCCCCTGCAGTAGGGTTTTATATTTAGACTTGTGGGACCCAAGCATAAAAGTTTTCAACTCCATATTATTGCCGTATTCTCATTTCTGGTTTTAAGTGATCCTTACAAATTATAATATCGGTACAGTAATATAGTATGTATAAAACGAATTCAGCTCCCTTCAACATTTTACAAATGAGGAGAGGGAGGCTGAGAAACCAAGTGCACTGCTTAAAGTCATTCCGCTAGTGATAGGCAGGGGCAGGGTTCTAATGCAGGTAATCATAATGCCAAGTTGAATTCTCTTTCCCTTGCACCTCTGTTAGTCTTTAACAGTTAGTGCCTTCCTGGATGGGAATCACTGGACTCAGGAGGTAGAGGTTTAGTGCAATCAGATTTCCTGCCACAGATTCATCAAAACAGCGCTGCCCCAAATTTTGCATGCCAACTAGCCGTATATCATTTTTAGACACAAATTAGATAACTGAATTGCTCACATATTTCAAAACCAAAATGTACCTTCTAGATTGCCCACTGCATAGCAACAATGGATTTTGGGTAAATTAGAACAGTAATTTACTGTGACAACTGATCACTAAAGCATTGCTGCCCACCTTCCTGGTTGACAGAATATAAAACATTGGGGCAAGAAAGAGAACTCATCTGTGCATTCAGGCTTTAGTAACCCCTTCTATCTATAATTCATGCAGTGGAATAGCAGAGGCAACTCTGGAATGGGAGGGGCTGACTCCCAAGGAATAGCCTCCATCCAACACTTTGAGAGTGTTGAAAGCCTGCACTGATGCTGGAAAGCGGCAGGGGCTGTGGAAAGAACCTGAACAGGAAGACTGGAGACATGGCCTCTAGATTTGGCACTGACACTATCAAGCCATGTGACGAAGGACAAGTCTCTCTTTCACTGCAACTCCATTTCTTTAGAAGAAGAGAGAAGGGAGAAGATATGATTAAGTGCTCTTGAGAGTCCCTTTCAGTTCTAACAGTCTAAGCATTTTGAATTCTAATTGTGTCATTTAGGGCATTCTGGTCTGAAGTATATGGATATCAAAATATTATCAAATGTGGTCGGTCAGACGTCAAAACAGCCAGTGTGTGTTTTCTGGGGTAGGGAGACTGTCACAATAAGGTACATCTCATCCGTCTGAAGAGTGAGGCAAAATGAGTTGGCAAGGAATGAGTTCTTACGTGTGCCAGTAACTTAGATACCTAATGCTGAGTTTAGAAAAACAGCCCTCCTAAAGAACTACCAGTTTTTCTTTACTGAGATGCTTTTGAGTAACTTGCCTGGATTCACAGGGAACCAAAGAGGGAAGAAATTAGCAGAAAATCGTGTATCTTGGTACAAAGGTCCAATTTTTAGCATTTGAATTTTATTCATCCAATGCTGTATAAAGAAGCACTTGACCCGACAGGTGATGTGGAGGCAACTAGCTGACCTGATAAAAGGCAACATTATTCTCCTAACAATTCTCTTAGAGAGGCTTTGTGCTTGCCAGCCTACCTGTAGAGAGACAGGAAGGTAGTGGATAGAAATAAGGAACAGTTGGTCTTGAGGTGAGGAACTGGTTCTGGATACAATCTAGGAGGGCGAACTGCTCCTGAACTATTTCAGAAATGTTTATCCTGGGGGCAGCCAGGTGATTCATTCAGTCGGTCGAGTGTCTGACTCTCGATTTCAGCTCAGGTCCCAGCATTGTGAGACTGAGCCCCTGTGTTGGACTCCGCACTGGGTATGGAGCCTGCTTGGGATTCTCCTTCTCTCTCTTTCTCTCTGCCACTCCCCCACTCTCACTCTCTCTGTGTCTCTCCAAATAAATAGGTAAATATTAAGAAAAAACAAAAAGAAATGTTCATCCTGATGAAGTCTGTCTTCCCCTTGCCTGGCTCTTCTAACTTGTAATGGAGGAAACTCATTAAAAGAGGTTAGGCTCGGGGTGCCTGGGTGGCGCAGTCGGTTAAGCGTCCGACTTCAGCCAGGTCACGATCTCACGGTCCGGGAGTTCGAGCCCTGCGTCAGGCTCTGGGCTGATGGCTCAGAGCCTGGAGCCTGTTTCCGATTCTGTGTCTCCCTCTCTCTCTGCCCCTCCCCCGTTCATGCTCTGTCTCTCTCTGTCCCAAAAATAAAGAAACGTTGAAAAAAAATTTTTTTGAAAAAAAAAAAAAAGAGGTTAGGCTCCTTTCTTTGTCTTTCTTTAGTGCCCCCTCGTTTTTTGGGGGTGGCATGTGGGTGGTGGTTCGTTTAAATGAGGCAAACTGAGAGAATGTACTTCAGAAAGTTAACACTGGAGTGAGCTGTGGCACAGCTTGGACTCTTCATTTTCTTCCTCATTGCAATGATCAGGGGGTTGGGACTGATCTTTAAAATCACTTGCAGCTCAAAAATGCTGAAATTATATGTTCATCTTTTCCTGTTCTTCCTTCATAACCTTGCATTAAAGGCTAAAAGCAAAGGATTCCCTGTGATTTTGCCATGAAAAGCAAAAATAAAAACTATACACACATAATTTAATATTGATATTTGTGTTGGTCTGATCATAGAGGAAATGGTAGCTGATGTCATAGCCTGTCTTGTTTTCCATTTTGATCCCAGGAGGGCTTTAGGAGCTATTCCCTTTGCCTCAACTTCCCAGACACTACAGCACACAAACATACAGTGGGAACAATTTATCCATGAGAAAATTAAATGCTTTAATTTCCATCATTGGGGAGGAATTTGTATTTATAAGATCAGAGATTGACAGATGATTCATGATTGGGGAATAATTCCAACATGTAATCACGGGAACCTTGTGGTTTCTAATGTATAGGGAGCTATAGGCCTTGGGAATTGAATAGTTGAACCCCTTCATCTGGCAGATACGGACACTGAGGTCCAGAAGGAACCTATTAGAGGTAGAGCTAGTTGGAACTGAGGTAGGTCTCTGGGCTCGCAGTGCAGCACTTTTCACCGTTACCTTGCAGCTTTAATACTTTGTGGATATTCTCATTGATGATCTTCCCCTCAGAGGTAAGGACTGGAAGAATGGGGTGTTGTTCAACTTCAGCTTGGGAGGGACAGGATAAAGCCTTGCTGCTCTTCATCAAGAGGCTGATGGCAGTCCTTCTTTCCATGTTTCCACCCCTGTCACCGGTAGTTAATCTGGACTGTTCTGTTATCCAGCTGCACACCTCTCCTTCCTCATTCCTTCAAGAGATGAACATAGGCTGGTGTTCCCAAAATAAACTTTGTTTTGAAGTTCACTTAGGACCCGACATGAATGAAACAAAGATTGGGACAAGCAAAGGATTACTCTGTGATAGATGTTAACCGGAGTCCTCACCCAGCAGATGGGATAACTTACTTCTAGAAAGTACTGCCCAGCAAGAGTCATCTTCAGGAAGAGGGACTTTTGGAATTTAACAGATGAGTAGAATTTTGATAACCTTCATCTCCCTGGTATTGGCTTTCCATAATACCCTGTTCTCTGTTGTAATTTGGGGGGCTTTGTTGTCTGGATGATTCATGAGTATTTGATCTTTCAAAGTAGACTGTAAGCACCTCAAGTACAAGGAACATGCACTTTAATCCTCCAAACACCTGAGGACAGGTATTTATACATAGTAAAAACTCAGAAAGTACCCCCTGAGTGGATGAATGAATGAACGAATGAACTTCTTATCTGCTAACTTTTCAAATTAAAAAATCAGTTGCATATTACATTGAGAGGAAATTATCCCCCAAAGAAACTTACCCAAAATTCTACATAATATTTTTATTTAGTGATTTGTTTTTCACTGTTTTTGTACAGTGTGCTTTTGTTTGCCTAAATAAAAATCAGGTAAATAATTGGGGCGCCTGGGTGGCTCAGTTGGTTGAGAGACCGACTTTGGCTCAGGTCGTGATCTCATGGTTTGTGAGTTCGAGCCCCGCATCGGGCTCTGTGCTGACAGCTCAGAGCCTGGAGCCTGCTTCTGATTCTGTGTCTCCCTCTCTCTCTGCCCCTCCCTCACTCATGCTCTGTCTCTCTCTGTCTCAGAAATAAATAAACATTAAAAAAAATTTTTTTTAAATAAAAAAAATCCTGTAAATAATCTTATCATAGACAAAATG